TCCCCATGGTGAAAAACATTTTTTGAATAGCTGCTTTTAGGGAAAGCGTGACACTTTCTATTTATTTATTTAATTTTTGGCTGCACTGAGTGGCAAGCTGGATCTTAATTCCCCAACCAGGGATCGAACCTGTGCCCTCTGCAGGGGAAGAATGGAGTCCTGGCCACTGGACCACCAGGGAAATCCCTGAGAAGTTATTTTTTCAGACAAGAATGAAGATATATTGGAGGGCATAATCACATTGAAATAAATTTTTGGCTTGGGAATTTGTTAGTGCTTCCCATCCCAAGACTTAGGTGGCTAGGTGGTATTCTGCGAATACAGAATATGCAGGAGACATGAGTTCAATCCCTGGGTCAGGGAGATCCCCTGGAGGAGGAAATGGCAACCTACTGCTGTATTCTTGCCTGGAAAATTCCATGGACAGAGGAGCCTGGTGGACTATACTCCATGGGGTCACAAAGAATCGGACATGACTGAGCATGCACACATACATATACACCCTTAGACTCACTCAGGTCTCTAACTTTTCTTGACTGCAAGTGCAAATTGAAGAACTTTCTTCATCTGCCCAGAGCAGACTCTCAAAACCAGTCGAGAGAGCAGGAATCCATTCACTGGGACCTGGAGTCACTTTCTGTGCTCATGTGGCCAGTGGTGATTGGTTTACCCCTTTCTGCCTATAGCAACCTTCCACAGAATTAAATTGGAAGTTAGGAGGGCCAAAAATCTATTTGTGGGGCACTCAGCTAATAACAAGAGAAAGAGATGTTTTAAATAAACCAAATGCAGGAAGCCAGTTAGAGAATCAGTGGGACCACCCAAAGTGCAAAATATAAAAGAAAGACTCAAGAAAGCAAAGGAGAAAACAGATTGAATGAATTTGGTGGTGGGGGAGGGGGCTTTGTCTTTTGGTGATAAAAGATTGGAAATATGAAATAAAAGCCAAGGATAGTGAAATTGCTTTCAACTAAGAAGTTAGGAGACCAAGGAAAAGTTCTAGTTCAGGCTTAGTGACCTTGGGCAACTTACAGCAATTCAAGAAATACCTGTTAAGTACTGCTGTGTGCTTTCTTGGTGATCTCTAAGGTCATGGCCACCTCTTAATTCCTCTCTATTGTATGCTACTACCACTAGAAGATAGCCTACCTAAAGAGTTGTGAAAGAACTCAAGGGTATCATCATAGAACCACTGTCAAGAGGAGTAACACTAATTTCATTGAAGGAAGGATAGGGAGGCAATGAGTCTTATCCCTAAGAAGATTTTAGAAGGCATCCTGAGACCACAGGCCCATAAGTGTCCGTTTCAGATACATGTAACTCTTTGGCATAAAGGATAAAGAGTAGAATCATGGGTTGCTTACTGAGTAATTAACAACGAGCACTGAGGGATTTCCCTGGTGGTCCAGTGGCTAAGACTTCACCTTCTAGTGCATAGGGTGCAGCTTCCACCCCTGACTGGGGAACTAAGATCCCACATGCCTTGCTGTCAAAACACCAAAACATAAGACAGAAGCAATATTGTAACAAATTCAATACAGACTTTTAAAATGATCCATGCTAACAAACAAAACACCAACAATGAGAATCAAGAGTTGGGGACTATGCATAAAGTGGGGTGGTGGTGGTGAGGGGGTAAAATAAGTAAATAAAAACACAAAATGCTTTGGTTGGGGAAGGTCCTGCCTAAGAACACAACTTTTTTTCCCCCTAAATGATGCTTAGATTTTTTTTTTTTTAATGACAAACTGTCTGGAGCTGCCTCAAAGTGCTCCTCTGAGAAAAGAGAAGAAAATGCCTAGAGAAGTCAGGGAGAGTTTCCTAGAGAGCAGGACTTAAACTGGAACTTTAAGAAAGGAGGCAGACAGATTCAGGGAGGTACAGATGTAAAGAGCATGTGTAAATGTCCAGGGAAACACAGGTAGCTTGTCTTAGGATAAAGGAGAGATGAGCTTGTTTGGAGTAAGGATGTGTATGGATGAACAGGGGGAAAGGCAGCTTCTAAGTGAGGAGGCAGGGAGAAATCAGACTCCAGAAACCTTAAAAGTCTGAGAGAGGACTAATCAATGTTATGTGCTGGCTGAAAAGCAACAATATTTCTATAAGGTCTCAATCACGTGATCCACTCGGATTCAGTGAGAGGATAATAGTGTGCAAATTATTCAGAGAAGCAGTGGATATAATTATCTTACAGAAAGTTTTGGATGATATATTAGAAACGGAAAATGGAGTCATTGTGAAATTGAGGGTGATTTTTTTTTAAACCAAGGCCTGAGAACTCAGAGAGAGATAGAAAACAGTAGAAGAAAAGAAACAACAGTAGAATAGAAGGCAAGAAATAAACAGGTGGATACAAATAAATAGATGGAGCTGGTCACGTCTCTAAATGAAGGGAGATTAAAAATGCAGGGGGCCCTAAGAGACCATGCCAGGACTTGTCTGATTTAAATTTTTTATAAGTGATCCAGAGGAAGTAGAGCAAAGTGAAAATTTCAGGACTGCAGATCGTATTAAGCCCTTTCAGGTAGGGGCATGCTCTGCCAAAGGAGAGAGAGAGAGAGCGTGCGCTGAAGGAAGGTACTGAGTGGGATGCAAAATGGCAGATAAACGTCACCCTGGGGAAATGTAAGGTAACAATGTGCTCTGGTAAGAATAATCCACGGATAGGGTGTTGTGTTCCAGGCTATCAGTTTTGGCCCAGGAAGGGGATCAGGGAGCTGCTGCAGATTGTCTCCTAAAGGCAGTGTCCTAATATGTTGGGGTCAGGAGGCTGGCAAAATGATGCACAGAAGTGGGAAGGGACCTAAAAACCAAAGAGGAAATCATTCTCTATTGTATAAGATGAGAAGTTCCCATATCTGGGGACAATGGTCAGGTTGACATCTATTGAAAGTTATGGCCCAAGGATAGCCAGAAAAGGGCAACTAAAATGACTCAGAGAATGAATGTGGCTATTCTAGAGGTGATCTATTGTAAGGGGGAAACTTAAGTATGAAAAAACAAAGGCTAAGTGAGGTGGAATAATCAAAGCCTTTATAAAACTGATAAAAACAAGGAGTAGGTAGCACTACTGTCTCTTCAGATCCTAACATTTTCAACGAAAGAGTTTGCTCTTAATGCTTGAAATATCACAGGAATAAAAAGGTTTCAAAGTTGTGATCATTTACCCCCATCTTTTTGTATTGTTGTTGTTGAGTTGCTAAGTCATGTCTGACTCTTTGTAGCCCGATGGACTGTAGCCCACCAGGCTCCTCTGACATTGGGCTTTTCCAGGTAAGAATACTGGAGTGGGTTGTCATTTCCTTCTCCAGGGGATCTTCCTGACCCAGGGATCAAACCCTCGGCTCCTGCCACCTCTCTTACGTTGCAGGCAGATTCCTTACCGCTGAGCCACCGGGGAAGCCCCTCTCTTTTTGTATTAGAGGTGGTAAAGTTCAGGAAGAAAATGGCCAAGGTCACAGAAACCATGGTAGGATTAAAAGCCCAGGCCTCCTAAATCCCAGGTTGGGGTCTTTCCATCTTACCCTGTGCACCAGGGAAGACTAAAGGAACTCTACTTTTTATAGGGTATAAACTCATGAAATGCATCACTTTGAAATGAAATAAAGCTGAAAACACAAACAGGCTAAGGAAAGTTTTCACTCAAAGTCAACAGCAATTATAAGGCCTTTGGAAGAAAACTACCAGCAAGACTAGAGACTTTCTACACACTTTGATCTGGGGGAATCATATACCCCTTTGACAGTCTGAAGAAATCTAGGGATTCTCTCCAAGAAAAACACATTTGCACATGCAAACACAGTTTTATACAAGATTTCAGACTCCTATGCCCAGTTAAGAATCCTTATTCTGGCAGATTCTTCAGAACAGACTGCTTCAACAAACACACTCCATCTCTTATGATAAGTGAGGCAATTACTCTGGTATTCTTCATCAAAAAACAAACAGCCCACCCCACCCCACCCCACCCCCAAACCCACTGTCTCAACATCACTTATCAGAATTGCTATAGGTTTGAAGAGACCAAAGAAATTACCTAGTCCAATGCCCCTGCCCCGACTTGTGTGACACAGGATAATATCATGGTTAAATATGTGAAGGCTAGAGTCAGCCTGCCTAGGTTAGAATTCCAACTTCATCACTCACTAGCTGTGTGACCTTGGGCAAGTTACTTAGTTCTCCGGGTCTATATCCTCATCTGTAAAATGAAATTGTCTCATAGTTTCGAGGCTTAAACGAGATAATTCTTATAAAACTTAGCACCAGGCCTGGCACATAGTGAGTGCACAGTAAACGCTAGCTGGCATGATTGTTATTATTATGCTTGTATCCATGCAGGTATTATGCATGCATCCATCCAATCCCTTCCTGGAGCTTTTGCTTGCACAGTTCTGTGATGAGCAGCTCATCGCCTCCCAAGCTGGTTGAGCAGCTCCGATTGTTACAAACTTGCTCCTGTATTGAGCGAAACCTGCCTTCTTGCAACCCTTACCCCCGCCCCTGTGGGCCCTAGTTCTGTACTGTGGGGCCACGCAGAGCAAGTCTATCCTTCCTCCACGTGACAGCCCTTCAGCTAGGAAGACAGTGAACGAGTCCTTCCACGGTCCCCCGCCACCCCACCCCCCAATCTTCCCGTCTCCAGCTCGAACATCCTCGGCTTCTTCTCCCAACCCACAACAGACTGGCTGCGCTTACTATTTACTCCCAGGCGTTGTACGGTTTCCCTCACACATAGTCATGCAGGCCACACACCCCACCGCCGCCACAACAATCCCGACCCTTCCCGCTCCGCCTCCGCCAGCTGCCCCTGTCCGCGGTGCTGAAGAGGCTCCGGGCCCTGCGGGCCTGCGCGGCCCTCCCCGGCCCCCGCCCTGGGTCGCTAGCCCGGACCCCAGGCGCAGACCCCCGGGGCGCCACCTCCGCGCCCCCGGCCCCGGCGCCGCCCCCCGCCCTGCCCGGAAGCCCCGAGCCCGCAGCCCGGCCCGGCGCGCCAGCCCCACCTGCCCGGCGAAGGGCGCCTCCGCCTCGGCCGCCCGCGCCGCCCGGTCCCCGGCCCCCGCCGCCGCCGCCGCCGCCGCCCGCGCGGCGCCCGGGAGGCAGCAGAGCGCGGGCAGCAGCAGCAGCAGCCGCCCCGGGGCCCGCCAGCGGCTGCAGCGCGGGGCCAGGCCCAGCGGCGGCGGCGGCCCCGGCGCGGCGCGGCCGCCCCGGCTCTTCGGCATCCCGGCGGCGGGGCCCGGCCGCCCGGCTGCGATGGCGGCGGCGGCGGCGGCTCCGGCCGGGTCCTCCCGCTGCAGCCGCTGCGGAGCCGCCGAGTCACCGCGCCGCGGACACGCGCCCGGCCCGCCTGTCTCCGCCGCCGCCGCCGCCGCCGCCTCGGCCGCCAGCGCGCCCCCGCCTCCGCGCGCCCCGCCCCGGCGGGGGGCGGCCAGGGGCGCGGGGGCAGCACCCAGGCGGGACCCGCGGGGCCGCCGGCTCCGGACCAGCCTCGGGACGCGAGCCGAGGAGTGGCTCTGGGTGCGGGTCGCAGAGGCCAAAAGAACAGCTCCGGAGGCAGGGTCCAAAGAGATGGAACTGGAGGAGGGGGCCCGAGGGGCAGCCCTGTGGGAGGGGGAAGAAGCTAAATAAATAATCCTGGAAACACAACCGCGCCACGGCTCTGAGGGAGGATATCTGGGATTGGGGGTCCGAAGCCAAAGGCATAGTTTTGGGGGAGAGGGTCTGAGGTGAGGCGGGGGTGACACTGCAGGCGGGGCTCTGGGTCTGGCAGAGGGGAGTGAGGCGCGCCCTAGAGTGATGGTGAGGTTGGAGGGGATGAGCTGAAGAAATAGCCGTGGAGAAGAGGGTCTGAGAGGGAGGCAGTGGAGAAGGGAGGGCAGGGAGGGTAAGAGACTAAAGAATAAGCCCGAGGAGCCTTTCAGGAGTAGACCTGGAGACATTAGGTGACAGTAAGGTGAAGCTCATTCTCTCACTCCCAGAGCGAAAGACATCAATCAGACATCTTTCATCAAAAACCACCCGTATTTATCGAACACTTTCTATATATATGTAGGGCTCTGAGCTACTTGGGATTAGAAGAAGAAGAAAAAGAGGCTGATTCCCTGAAGTGTAGAGATTTATAGTTTGGTGAGAAAACATAACTGGGTGGCAAAGTGTCAAAAAGCATACATGAGCTGCTCCAGGGATCAAAGGGGACTTGATGGGGGAGTGGTGAAGTCAGGACAGGCATTATTGGGGTCAGGTGGGGCGACTCTGGCTAAGCTTTGAAGGAAAGGCCAGATTTAGATGAGGGAAGGGGAATGGAGAAGGCAGGATATTGGGCAGGAAGGTGAGGGTGTACAAGACGTGGTTGGGCCAGTAGATCTGTTTCTCTGAAGCACAGGGTTTTCCCATAGGAAAGTGCTGGGAAGTAGGGAAATAGTCCAAGACTGTAAATCCTAGGGAAATGGATTATATTCTGAAGGGCAATGGGAGTGGTGGTGATTGAAGACTTTTTTGAGCAGGATGGTGTGTGGAAAATGGTGTTTTATGGTTACCTGTAATTTGGAGGTATCAGGCTTTGGAGTCAGATCTATGTTCAGATCTTGACTCTGTTCCATTTTTATAAAATGATGCTGATATTGCTGCAAAATGTTGCCGTAAGGATGAAGTGCTTGGCACCTAGTAGGTGTTACATATTAGTTCCCATCCCAGTGTACAAAATAATGACCAGAGGAGGCAGAGAGATTAGTTGGGAGATTACTGGAACTGTCTAGATACAAGGAAATGATGGTAACAGACAGAATTAGCACTTATTGAATGCCTACCATGTATCCAAGTTTGAGTAAACTCTGGGAGTTGGTGATGGACAGGGAGGCCTGGCGTGCTGCGATTCATGGGGTCGCAAAGAGTCAGACACGACTGAGCGACTGAACTGAACTGAACTGAACCACGTATCAGGTACTGGGTTAAGCCCTTTAATGTTTTATATCTATAACCATGTTTCATAAGTGGCAGAGTCAAAGCAATCTGATTGCATAACTCTTTTTTTTTCTTTTAGAATGGTGCCATAAAAAATAAATTTAAGAGATACTGAACAAAGGAGAGAAGGACAGAAGTTTGGAGTAATGGCAAACCCAGAAAGATGGGTGATGATATCTTTGCAGACTTGTCATAAGGAGGAACAGGCTTGAGGGAATCAAAAAGGAGTTTGGTTTTAGGCTTGTTGCGGTTGAGGTGACCCCTGAGATGGGTACAGCAATGGGTTCAGAGGAGGGTGGAGAATAGATATTTTGGAAACATCCAGGTTAGTATGATAGCTGAATCTGAAGGACAGGAGTAGAAAAGAGAAAAGACTGAGGAATCAGGGTTGTGAAATACATATGTGTTAGTTGCTCAGTCATGTCCAACTCTTTGCAACCCCATGAACTGTAGCCTGCTAGCCTCCTCTGTCCATGGAATTCTCCAGGCAAGAATACTGGAGTGGGTTGCCATTCCCTTCTCCAGGGGATCTTCCCCATCCAGTGATCAAACCTGGGTCTCCTGCAATGCAGGTGAGTTCTTTACCATCTGAGCCACCAAGGAAGGGAAAGAAGGATTTCAAAGCAAGAGAGAGGTGTTGGCAGTGTCAGGGAGATCACAGCGTTGGAAGACTGCATCCACACCATTTGCTTAAACAGCTCATAGCATAGGAGGGAGATAGACATAAGCAAGTCATCTTGGTTATGTGATAAATTACAACAGAGCTAAGAACAAACTCTATGGAAACACCGAGGAAAGAGCAACAGACCGCTCAAAGTTAGAAGATTTGGGAGCGGGTACGTTTCAGAAGGAGTAAAAAGCACATTCAAGGAGTGAAAGGAAACAGACTGGACTGAGAGGCTAAGGACAAGATCTGTCTTATTCATCTCCTTATTCGTAAGGCCAAATGCTCATTGAAATGCAAATGAGAATGTAGGGCTCAAGTGGTCCATGAGCCAGCTACCAAGGGTGGTGGACATGAGTGGCAGTAGGTAATTGGTGATAAAGAAGGAAGAGGCTGGATGCTTATAAAATGTAACCCTAAGGTAGGTCCCTAGTAGGAAAGGTCTAGAGAGCTTTGTGAAGTCAGCCCACGAGGAGGTTTAGCAGGCTTCAGAGTAACACTCTAAGATGCAATCACTAGAGTGCTGACTCCTCTTTTCCCCTCTTCATGGAAAAAGCACTGGACTTAGAGTCAGAAACCTGGATTCAGTATTGGCTGTCACTAATTTGTTGTGCATCTTTGGGCAAGTCATTTCATCTCTTTGAGCCTTTGTTTCCGCATTTGTAAAGCAAAACTAATGATCCTGCCCTCCCCACTTCATGCGGAGGACCACATAAATGCTTGGGATTCACTTTGTAAACTAAACAGTTAATTGAGCAGATGTTAGGAAAAAGTTAGGTATTGATAACCTTATCAAGAGGCATTATTTTAATCAGTGCTAGAGCCCCTATAAGGAAACTGGGACCCTCTCCTTTACCTCCTCTCTTAATTTTTTGTTCAACAAATATTTCTGAGATATTATTTGGGTGCTAGCTGGGGTGGGCGACATAAAGGAGATTAAGTTATAATTGCTTCCTCTAGAAACATAGTAAGTTTGGGATAGATACATAAATAGACACCAAGAAGATAAAATTATGTGCTATATAAGAGGGAGAAGAAATATATTTTTGAAGTAGAGAGGAAAGAACAAATGTCTAGAGATGACAGGCGGTGAGATGGGCCTTGAATGACCAGCAGGGATGTGCTGGGTAGAGTGGGAAGTGAACTGTATACACAAAAGTGTAGAGATACATGAACACCATGCTAAGGATAAAAAAAATATATAAATACAATTTTATTTATTTATTTATTTTGACTGCACCCTGCAGCATGTGGGATCTTAGTTCCCTCACCAGAGATTGAACCCATGCCCCCTGAAGTGGAAGCTCACTGCACTGGACCGCCAGGAAAGTCCGTGTGCTAAGGATTTGGGACTTCACATTCTAAACCAGTAATTTTCAAACTGTGGTTCTGACCGTCTGGTGGGTCTGGAAGATCAGAATTATTTTCCTAATAATAGTAAGATGTTATTTTTCTTTTTAGCTCTCGTTTTCTTATGAGTGGACTGTGTGGTTGTCCAGAGGCCTCCTGACATGTCACAACAGACTGCAGACGTAGGCATGAGAAGGCAACTATCTTCTATTAAGTCAGATTTAACAGGTTTTCAAGACTGTAAGATGATATTATTATTTTAAATGAATTACTGTGTAAATATTTCTGTTTTTTTAACTTTATTTATTTATTATTTATAGTTTACTGCATTGGGTCTTTGTTGCTCCATTGCTGGGGGAGCTGGGGCTACTGTTTGTTGTGGTACACAGGCTCTAGGTACACGGGCTCAAGGTATACAGGCTTCAGTAGTTGCAGCATGTGGGCTTAGTAGTTGTGGTACATGGGCTTAGTTGCTCCATGGAATAAGGGATCTTCCCAGGCCAGGGGTTGAACCCATGCCCCTGCATTGGCAGGCAAATTCTTAACCACTGGACCACCAAGGAAGTCCCTGTAAATATTTTTATCTTTTTTTTTTCCATTTATTTTTATTAGTTGGAGGCTAATTACTTTACATCATTGCAGTAGTTTTTGTCATACATTGAAATGAATTAGCCATGGATTTACATGTATTCCCCATCCCGGTCCCCCCTCCCACCTCCCTCTCCACCTGATCCCTCTGGGTCTTCCCAGTGCACCAGGCCCGAGCACTTGTCTCATGCATCCAACCTGGGCTGGTGATCTGTTTCACCCTAGATAATATACATGTTTCGATGCTGTTCTCTTGAAACATCCCACCCTCGCCTTCTCCCAGAGTCCACAAGTCTGTTCTATACATCTGAGTCTCTTTTTCTGTTTTGCATATAGGGTTATCGTTACCATCTTTCTAAATTCCATATATATGTGTTAGTATACTGTAATGGTCTTTATCTTTCTGGCCCTGTAAATATTTTTAAAAGCTTTGATTTCTAGTGTGGTAATTGTCAATAGATGTAATCTACATGAAGAAAGCTCTTTGGAGTCCTCAATAATTTTTAAGAATATAAAGGCGATCTTGAGACCAAAATGTTTGAGAACTTTGTTCTAGGTAGTAGGTCATCACTGAAGGGTTTTTAATAAAAGAATGACATGATAATATTTCAAAAAACTGTTCAACAGATATTTATTCAACACCTACTATATGCCTGGCAC